CGACCCAGCACAGCCGCCTACTCGCGCATGAGCAACTGGCAACAAGACGCTGCGAGGGACCTTGGCCACGGCGTTAACAGGGCACGCCGCTTGAAGCTCGGCGCCGACGATCGGGATGCGGGATACAAACGACGAGACCGGACCGAGCTAAGCAACAAACAAGATGGTGATGCCTTAGACAGACTTGGGAGAGATGTACATCGCGGCCAAGGAAGCGCATGGGTCCGCCCACGCACTGCAGCGGAAGGAGGTAGTTGCCGACGCGACGCGTGCCGTAGATCATGCCCGGGCGCAGACAGACGCCGGTGGTAGGGAAGCTAAACCATGTGGGTCAACGAATGCAACGAGATGGATCGCGTTGTACTGGGCGGCAATGGCATCCTCGACGCGCTGCTTGCCGTTGAAGTACCCGTACAAGGGCGCCCACGTCGGGATGTCCTTGCCCACGCGGGACTCGGAGATAAAGACGACGCGGTCGACCTCTATGGCGACATGAGCACGGGCCAGACGATCAAGTCCATACCGCCAGCCTTGGCGGCGCGGACAACTTCAATGTTGGCGTCGCCGCACATCTTTTGCATGAATTCATTGCTGCCAAAGGCGCCAACCGTCGTTATAACGCCCGTGACCCCTACCTCCGTTGTGAGCCCAGGCTCGTCCACATGTAAATGGTGAGCATACCGTCCACGGCCTTGGCCAGATCGGTCGGCGAGAAGACGTCGCCCTGGATCCACTCGACCTACATGCCATAGTTGTCAATGTTGCGCTGTGGAGCGTGGCGGCGAAAGACCATCGCACCTTCTCGACCCATGGCACTTGGTCGCCCCACGTCGGCTTGCCCGACCGGTTCAAGCTGCGCACCTCGATGCCCTTGGCCACGGCGCGCTGGAGGATGTTGCTGCCCACGAAGCCGTTGCCGCCGACGACAAGGAGCGTGTGCTGGCGCGGGTTGTAGGCCATCGTCGAGTGCACGACGCGCTTCGTCGCTGCGGTGGCTGCCGGACGCATCTCGTTTTCAACTGCCGATCCAGACGTTGCCGCTGGCTTTGCATATGATTGGATAAAAACCAACCAATCACACGCTAGTCGGGCGGTTCGCTTGGCTAAAATCACGCCATTTGGGTGTGTCTACGCTGTGAAGCCGCAGATCAAGGCAGGTCACGACGCGTCGACTATAGGGAATTCCGAGCTCTCGTTCGGGACGGCGATGTCGTGGCTCAAAGAGACTGTGGACGAGGGCTACGGCTCTCGTACTAATACTCTATGTATGTTCAAGGTGTCACCGAAATAAAGAATGCGCAGATCGGTCACACCAGCCGATATGTGTCAGGACAGTGTTAATGATACTTTCGTCTGCATATCGATCCCACACCGCACACGGCTAACCGTCGAAATGTGCATGCGTGCGGACTTGCACCACCAACAGCGACATACCGGTATCATGCCTGCATAATGAAGGCCCCCGAAGTTCACGGCTATCTCAAGTTGCGTGATTCAAGTCGATGGTTCGATGCCTTGTGCTTGGCGCCAAACGGCCTTGTCGACTTCATCGCCGGCGCTCGATGCGGCCATATACTGCTGCAGCTGTAATTGACGGGCGTGGATGGCCGCTGCGTCGGTCGTGAACTGGTCGATCTCGCCTTGAACGCTTCTTGGTGCGTCGGCCTCGCGAGGCAGCGTCTGAAAGGCCTGCCACACTACCGCACACACATCTCGATCGATGGCTACAAAGAATATATCGTACGTTGCTTGGCTGACGGCGATATGGGCACCGAATCCACCTGTAAGGTACTTGGAATTGGCTCGGGGGCTCGTTGATCTCGCAGGATGGCTGCCTGTGTATGGCAGTCCATGCACACATCACCAAGCTCGGCGATCCCAACATCGCCACAGCCCTTGAGGCACAAGGCGACGCGCACGACCTTCTTCTTGGGCGGCATGGTACATGAAACGCACCCTTCTGTCGATGAGCACAGCGTGGTATTTATATTCTGTTGTCTTCTGGTTAGTTGGTTGCATAGTACTCGACGAGGACTCGTGTGATCCCAGCAGTAATCCCGTCAAGGACATATTTGTTCTTATTTCCTTTATTCCTGTCAACCAAGTGGGCAGTATTTTCCATGCCATCTACAGGAGCCACATGCAGTTGTTGGCTCCGACAGTGATCCGAACACCTTGGTGGCCCTCGTTGTTTGCAAGGACGGTGCCGACGGCGACATCATGCACTGGAGTCACTGCCACGACGCGCCGCAAGTCGACGCACCGCAGCAAGCTGAGTCGGGCACTCGTGCGTCGGCCGTCGTCGTCTTCATACAGCACAAAGCAGTCGGCGCCGCGCTGGCTTATGCACACGTTCTTCTTGCAGCCCTTGTGGCGCGCAAAGAGCGCGTAGATCGAACCGCCGCAGACAACGTCGGTGCCGCGGGCCATGGCCAGCCCAATACAAAAGCGGTGTTTCCAGTCGTTGAACGAGGTTGACGCAAAGGCGTGCTTTGGCTTGGCGCGGCGCCATGACGCAAGGCCAAAGCCCCACAGAAGCGGGAGCTGTCCGAGAAGCATCGTATAGACAAAAGCCGCGAGAGAGATCTCCAGGCCGCGCGCTTGCTGCTCGGCCGTGAGGAGACACGTGAAGAGGTAGTGATACAAGTCGATGAAGAGCAGGAGACGGAACTGGAGGCACGTAAAGGGACCCGCGACGAGCGCCACGCCCATGGCCGTCATACTCGGGTCCACTTCTGCAAACGCGTCTTCCTTCCCAAGCCGCTTGAGCACACGCGACGTGAGCGAGAGCGCACCGTAGGCGAACCAGACGGTGCGCGAGAGGTAGAAGCACGCAATGACAAAGATGAGCGCGTTGTCGGTCTGCGAGATGCGCAAGAAGGCGCGCGAGACGTACTCGGTGCTGAGCCAAAAGTCCAGCACGAACGCCGTCGCGATCCACGGGTTGAGGAGGATGATGCTGGTCGGGTCACCCAAGACGAGCTCAAACGCGCGGGCGTGCGTGGTCGGGAGACCAAACTGCGTGAGGTTGCAATACAAAACGGCGTACTCGCGGTAGTAGTGGGTCCACACGCAGTGCACAATGTACAACGCCAAGAAGAGGCGGCTGAAAAACTTGGCAAACAGCCACGCTGTCGAGTACGTCGGCGTGTGAAACCCGACCCAGATGCACGAGACGTTCGTCGTCTTCTCGCCCCACGCGACCGAGTACGACGTGGGCACACCGAGGAGACGGCCGGTATTGAGAAACGTAAAGTTGGCGAGCGGCGCGCGGTTCGCAAGCACGGCCAACACATACGCGCGCTGGGCCGGCGTCTGGAAGGCCGCGTACGTCAAGTGAGCAAGCGGCGCCTCCGAGACGTTGCGCACACCGGGGGGGATCGTGACGTTTTCCTGGATCACGTCATAGTCCTCGCCAAAGGCGACGCCGAAGGCTGGCTGGCGCGCTTCAAAGTACCGCGCCCACCCGGCGTGGCACAAGTCGTAGCTCCGACTGCAGTTGGCGGCGTAGTCCCAGACGTCGGACCGGTCGTGCCACGGGAACGACTCGGAGACGTAGGCTTTGAGTGGCCTACACAGACGACGGCTCGCATTTGGAAGAAACGCGATGACGTGTACTACATGACGGCGAGGTTCAAGACGAGGAGCAAGCTTGTGCACAAAGACCGCTTGTTGAGGACGACACGGCGAGGCAGCGCACACGACGCTGGCAGCGACGGGCCCACCGCAAAGGGCTGCACCCGCGTTGCATGGGACATTCGACGAGCCGCGATCGAGGCGATGAATGCGTCGCTGTATAATTAGACTGCCGTTGGAAAGTAATCGTCGACTGCGATGAACTACAGGACGTCGCTCGCAATCTAGTGCCACCGTGCAGCTAACGCGACTCTTCTGCTACGTCAAGACGGCACCACCAAGTGTTTTGAGTTCGTAGTGTTGATTTGAGGTTAGCGAGGTGACCGCACGATGGCTTAGCAGCAGCCGCCCTTGCTGGCCGCCGGCGTCGCGCCACTGAGATCGATCGTGGCCGCCGGGACAAAACTACGACAAAAAGCTGGATGAATAACCGAGCGCGAGGTCGGTAGCATACATGTCATCGTCCTGGCCCTTTTGCAACGCTGTCTTGGCGATCGTGTGGAAAGCTTCTTCGACGCCGGTGGCTTCCTTGGCACTCGTCTCAAAGAATGCGATCGGGTGCTGCGCGTTCTTGGCCTTGCACCACTGCTCAATCTTTTGCGTCACCACCTACGCGCTTCATCATGAGCTACCGTGCCTTGACAGCCGATAGCGTACCCTTCGGTCAGCTTCCTGGTCGACTTTGTTGCCGAGAACAATGAACGGAAAGTTCTCCGGATCGCGCGGCCCGCCTGGGCAAGGAACTCGTCGCGCCAGCTGTCGAGCTTGTCAAAGGACGTCGGGTTTGTAATGTCGTAGACAAGAACGCAGGCGTCGGCGCCGCGGTAGAAGGCGACGCCAAGGCTCTGGAAGCGTTCCTGCCCGGCCGTGTCCCAGATCTGCATCGTCACGAGCTTCTCGTCAAGCATGATCTCCTTCGTGAGGAAGTCGGCGCCGATCGTCGCCTTGTACTGCGTGCTAAACTTCTGGTTCACGTACTGGTTCATGAGCGACGTCTTCCCGACCCTACATGGCGCCATGAGATGCATGCAGAATATCGCCGAGGTTGCTGCATGGAGCCTGGGCCTGGAGCACCATGTCCATGGCATGCTTCGCCACCTGGCATTAGCACATGCATGTACCCGCTGTCGCCGAGGATGATGACCTTGAGCAGGACCTTCTTGCGGTGCGCCATGGTCGTCCGTCGGTCGGCAAAAAAGAATACTTTGGATCTCGCCGTCTTCTTTCTTTGCAGGATACTACTGCTTTGTATGATATACCCAGTGCCAGTTGTTTTAAAGTACCTCTGACATTGAATGTAGCTGTTGGTATTGGAAACAAGAGGTTTATGCTAAATTCGGCATTCTATGCCACTTGAGCGTGTCCGTGGTGGGAAGAGACCTTTTGCCGACGCTCGCAAGAGGTAACCTGTTTGACCATGGACGTCGGTCATAAAACATGAAGCAAGCTTACGGGTGGGCCCTTCGACGTCTCGTCATTTCGTACTATGGTTGCATGGGATCGCTGATCGGCAGGTGCCGAATACAGAAGGTATAACCGTAAACCGTGAGCTGAACCGGTAGCTGTCAACCGAATCTGTGAACAACGAACGGGTGCTGAATCCAGCCGGTTGGCACGGTCAGCCTGGGTGCTTGAAGTTGGTCGATGGATCGGATCGTACTCCTTTGGACACTGGCGATAGCTCTGGGACTTCCATGGGCACATAGCTGTACTCTATCAACGACGGTTTCTTACAAGACTCGTCGTTGCGCAGCTGGGGTCACCGTCAAGAAGCTCGACAAAGCCAAGTGCTTCACTGGAGTCTCCCCGAAGCTGCAGTTGCCACATCACCATTGGCCATCACCCACATGGTGCGATCGTCGTCAAGTGGCCTCAGTTCACTTTTTAAGACGCAGCAGTACCGGTATGATTGCCACGTCGCCGTACGAAGGCATCCTCACGCGGCTCGTGGCCCAGCACTTGCACGGGCACCCTGAGCTCAGCTTCCAAGAGGTGCGCACGCAGACGACGCTGCGTGACTTCCTGCTACACGAGGCCAACGTGCCCGCGGCCAAGATTCAAGCGTGCGCTGGCACGGGTACGACGACAACAGTGCCATGCGTCCAGGTGCAGGACGGCCATGTACCTAGGTCTCGTCGTCGACTTTGATGGACCTATCGACGCGTCGACACCAGGTACTCGTGCGTTGCGCTGCATTGCCTTTCGCGGCGACATGGACGCGCTGCCGATCACGGAGTGCAACCCGCACTTGGCGTACGCGTCGACGGTGGCCGGCGCCGCACACATGTGTGGCCACGACGGCCACATGACGTCGCTCGCGGGCCTCGCGTGGTTTCTGCAGCGCGCGACGCTGCCGCCCAACACGCGCGTTCGCCTCCTCTTCCAGCCCGCCGAAGAAGGCCACTTTGGTATGCCCAATGTTGTTGATCACATGCCTCAGCCCTCGGTTCGTAGGCGCCGTCCAAATGATCCAAGATGGCTGCCTCGACGGCGTCGACGAGGTGTACGGCTACCACAACGCGCCGTTCCGCCTCGGCCACGTGCACGTCAAGCCCGGGCCCATCATGTCGCATGGCTGCAAGTTTGCCATCTCTGTGATGGGCCCCGGCGGCCACGGGTCGGCCCCCTATGCAACGACGGTGCGCATGCTTGCAATGTAGTAAACGCATGCATTGGATGGGCGTAGGACCCGGTGCTTGCAGCGGGGCACATCGTGGTGGCGATGCAGAGCCTCGTGAGCCGCAACATTCCAGCCGGCGAGAGTGCGATCGTGACGATTGCGACCATCCACGGCGGCGAGGCCGACAACGTCATCCCGTCGCGCGTCACGATGACAGGCACGTACCGCGATTTCAACCCGGCGATGGCCGACATCATCGAGACGCGCATGCGCGGCATCGTCGAAAACACGGCGGCGGCGTATGGAACGATTGGCCGCATTACGTTTGACGACTGCTACCCCGTGACCGTCAACGCGCCCGACCAAGCCGGTATTGTCGCCGACGTGGCGGCGCGCGTGGTACGCTCGAGAGGTGCACTGATGCAGAAGGAGATGCGAATGATTCCTAGGCGGGCAAGAGCTGCGTGAGCGACGACGGCCTCCCGCTCTGTGCGTCGGAAGACTTTTCGTACTACCTGCAGAAGCGCCCAGGCTGCTTCTTTATGCTCGGGACCACCGTGGACGGCGAGGAGCAGAACCGGCAGCTGCACAGCGACACGTACGACTTTAACGATGGCGTGCTCCCGCTTGCAATCCGCCTCTTCCTCGAGGTCGCCCAAAATCGCCTGGGCGCTGCTCTCATGTCGCCCGAGGCCTTGACGAGCATTTACGAGCCCAAGGGTCAATGCTGATTTCTTGTTTTGGACGTACGAAAATACAGGAAATGGGATCAAACGTACGCGACACTCGTGTGCTTTGTGAAAGTTTGGTGGGCTCGTGACAATTGCACAACAGCAAGCAAGGGAGACTTGCATGCTATTTGCAAAGGGAACGCCGCGGCGACCATGACGCTATAACTGGAATTCAAAACAGGCAAACAACACTTTGTCAAGGGCAAGAATTGATGTGGATTGCGTCGCGAGCTCGGCCTTGGAGCGATACCAATCCCCAAATACATACCCATTAACTTGAGAAACCGACCGTTGATAAAATAATAATAATACCGGGGGCGTACGCGAGGAGGTTCTGACCAATGTAGCTTTTGTACATGTCGATGAAAGATCGCTGTAACTTGACGACGCCGAACAATAAAATGATTTCAGCATTTTTTTCATTGGCTACTTGGCCTCCATTTTCAGCCAATTATCTACGATGCTGCTCGAGCCAAATCGCACCGACGTTGGCCGGCAGCGCGGTCGGCTAGAAATCGTCGGAAAACGAACTCGCTCAAATTTGGCATATCGAAAGAGGATGCTCTGGGGAGTACAAAATGCGACGCCGCGCCGGCAGAGGATGCATGCAGCCAAAGCTACGTGCCCTAGAAAAAGTAGATGTGGCATACGCCATATATAACCACGTATATACACATTTAAAACGCCGCCGCCTCTGTCAACGGTGTTGCTCCCTCGAGGCGCTCTCAGTCCATAACCTTCCATGTGTTCTTTCAACGTGCATCCATGCGTCGACGTCGACGTGCAAGGTACTCTATATCCTCACTGGGCGACTCGAATCCGTGTAGCATTGGCAGCACGTTGATTGTCCTGCTGGAAAACCGAGGGAAATCCCTTGTTCAAACCACACCCACGTGGTATCGTTTCATTTCTCGTGCCGCCATATCCATCTACTACGGCAGTACTAGTCATTCGTCTTCGTCGTCTTCCGTGAGCATCGTCTCTAGAAGCGTACACTTGTGCCCTTTGCGATCCATTATTGCCACGGCTCTAGGTAAAACGCGTTATATACGAAAACAAAACACTAAATGCTATCTTGATGTTTGTATTGCACTGCATTAAATATTCTTCGGGACCCTCGATTGGCGCATCGGAATCCAAGATAACATGGCCGACGTTGCCATCCGCCACGGCGAGGTGGGCGAGCACCACTCGGCGCAGATCTGGGCACCTGCAATCCTCTTCAAGCGAGGTAGGCTCCTCTCGCATTGGCCTTCCACATGAGCTCACACTGCCCTTTCCATGACGCAGCGCGGCTCACGCCGGGCGCGTACGTGCGCGTAACGTGCCCGACCACGGGCGCAATGGCCTATCGCCAAGCTCGCCTCCTGCCACCCGCCGACGCACCCGTGAGCGAGGCCTGGATTGGCGTCTTCGATCATGTACAAGGATCTATCGCGCGTCTGGAGGCACTGCCATCGCACCGACTCCCGACAACGGCCCACGTGCACCTCGAGTGGCAGCCGTCGGCCGTGACATTGCCGATACCGCCCGTCGGCCTCATGACGAACGCGCTGTTAGAAGACGGCATGCTCTGGCACTGCCGGTGGTTTGGTACCGACTATGGCCAGTGGCGCTGCCGTATCTTTCCGTGTACCCCGACGCCACTTGGTCACGGAGCGTCGGCGGTCGTGGGGGTCGTTGGCAAGACGACGCAGTTGACATTCTCAGGCCACCCGTCGTCGACCGGCTTTTGCCTCGTGGACCTTGATGGCCAGTGCGGTGTGCGCAGCGAAGCCCTCGCCAATCTGTCCGAGCTCTTGTTGCCGCAGCTGCAGACGCCCACGCCGTCGCCGAGCCACGTTGTGCTCGCGGGGCCGCTGGGCAGCGGCAAATTGCACACGGTGCGTCAGCTCGCCAAAGACGCGAATGCGCGTTTGCTCTTTCTCGACGCGCACATGACGGCGGCCAGCGACGTGGCGACGGTGCTCCACGAGTGCTTTCAAGCGCTTCTCGCCATGGCGCCTGCGATCCTCTGCATTCCACACATTGAACGCATCTTCCCCAAGTCGCTCGGAGGCGCAGGTGGCGGCAGCGAGCGCCGCATCATCGACCTCTGCTCGCGACTCGTCACGCTAGGTCTCGCACGCCTACCACAACATATTGTTGCTGAACGCGCGTTCGTAGGTCAGTTTCCCGACCGCGTCGCCGTCATTGGCACATCGATCGACCCGACGGCGCTGCATCCCAAGGTCGGCGCGTGCTTTACAGACGAGCTCTCGATGCCTGTGACGACGCTCCCTTTCCGTCGACAGCTCCTCCTGCACTTTGCAGCGCACAACAGCGATACGGTGGCGCCTCTGGTCGATGATGACACGGACGCGCAGCTCATCCAGTGCGGGCAGCAACCCAGCGACATTGCAGCTCTCGCCAACGCGCTCGACCTCTCGTCGCAGCTCGCGCGTCTCCAGCTCAGCGCGACCAAATCGCTCGTCTCGGTGCCCAAGGTCGCGTGGAGTGACATTGGTGGCGCCGAGCTTATCAAGCAGCAGCTCCAGGAAATGGTCGTGTGGCCGTTCGAGAAGCCGGACGTGTTTCGGCGCATGGGCATCTCGCCGCCAATTGGCCTCATCTTGTATGGCCCCCCCGGGACAGGCAAAACGATGCTCGCCAAGGCCGCGGCGACCGCCACGTCGTGCAACTTTCTCAACGTCACGGCCAGCGATCTGCTCTCGAGCGAGTTTGGCGCGAGCGAGCGCGCCCTTGCGGACGTCTTCCGGACCGCCAAAGCCATGAGTCCCTGCATTGTCTTTCTCGACGAGTTCCAGTCCATTTTTGCCAATCGGTCGGGCGCGGGGCAGGTAGCGCGCGTGTCTCATAGTCGTCGTTGAAATAGTGGTCTACCTGTAGATTGGGGCGAGCATGGCGTCGCAGCTGCTGCAGGAAATGGACGCGCTCAAGGCGCTCAGTGACGAGTCGTCCGAGAGTCATCTGCAGTACGTCTTTGTCTTGGCCGCGACCAACGCCTTGGACGCGATCGACGATGCGTTCTTGCAGCCGGGTCGGTTTGAAAACATCTTGTATGTGGGGTACCCCGACGACGACGGCCGGCGCCAGATTCTGGTACATTCGACTCGTTTTTACCACATGTGGGATTGTTAAGTTATCGTCGAGTAGACTCTGCTGCAAACCAGCATGTCATGGGCCGACGACGTCGCGATCCACGGGCTCGTCGACACGACCAAGGGTCTTAGCGCCGCTGAAATCGTCTCGGTCGTGCGCACGGCCGGCCTTCTCTCGCTCATGCGCGATGGCTCGGAGCAGGTGCGACCCTTGGCCTGGCCGTCCCTTTCTCATTCAGGAGGTGTAGGTGCACCAAGAGGCCTTTGACGACGCACTGCTCCAAGTGTGGCAACGCCATGTGCCTCTCTCGACCTAAATCAACTTGCGTCACTGCCATCTCCAATTTCAGCCTACTATTGCGCGCTTCGACGCTGCGTGTTCGACTGGTTCGACCAGAGCCAAGTGGCAGACGCCACCCGCAATATCCACGCTGCTTTTGTGTCGCAGGGTTCCTCGAGCTCGAGCGATGTGTACTGGATGCGAGGGCATCGCATTGCTGAAGACGTGGGGCAGGAAACGTCTGGGCGTCGGGTGGCGATGACGCTGCCCACCGAGAAAAGAGGTGGGTCCTAGGTATCAGGTGCTCTCTCACGGGCATATACGTATCTTTGATATACCATTTCCATGCCAGATCGATCGAGAAATCATACTAGAGAAAAGCTCCAGTACCTCAGGATTCGCTCGACCGGGCAAATTACAGGCTCAACTCCGTCGCAATGCCGTCGTTGGACAAGTGGTGCGACCATACTCACCAGGCGCAAGCCAGATCCTGCTACACGTTTCTTGCTCATCGACATCGTGTGCCGTACTACTATCCAGCCTACGCGGTGGCAGCAGTCGACGCCAACTTTTCCAGCACTGAGACGACTTGTGACTCTGGCTTCCAAGCGCCTGCGTGCAGGCTGACCAATCTTTCTACCCTTTTTCTTCAACCTTTCTACCCTTTTTGAGTTGCCTGTCGCCACAAGGCCGATACGGTAGAGGCATCGCGCTTGGCCCGAGTACGCCGCCTGTGCGGCAAGAGCCCAACGATGGTGATTGCATCTCACGTACGCTCTGCTTATGTCGTCAACAACCCGCGCTTGGAGAGCTCTTGGACGGTGGCCGACGGGAGGAACTGCAGAATGTCGGTTTGCTGCTTGGCATACGTCACCGCAATGCGCCGGAGCGTCGCATCGAGCGCTACATATCGTCGTTTATGACATGGAGAGAAGCAGCGTGCGATGTACCGAGTGTGAGCTGGTCGACCGCGGGCTGCTTGGCGCGGGTGTGCGCGTCGAGGGCCATGCGCAGCGAGAGAAGGCTTGAGAGCATCGCTGGCACCGACAGCTGCACATAGCCCTGTTTGTCCTTGGCGTACGACGCCGCCACAACAAGGCCGATGGCCTCGACCACGTGGAGAACCTCCTAGACAAAAAAAATCGTTGCCCGCCTGCTCTCGTCACAAGACGCACCGTGACCGAAAGGAAGACGAGCGAGAGCACCATGTCGGTGGCAAGACGCTGCCATGCCGCGGACGCGGACGGCGGTGCCGACAAGAGCGACAGTGGCGTGACTTCACCCGAGACGAGCGTGGAAAGGAGCGACGCCCACGAGATTACTTGCATTGGCACCGAGCCGACAGCCACCGGCAGCATCGCCTTCCACGCCGAGACAGCCTGCAGCTGCTGCGTGAGCAGATCCAACGTCGCGGTCGCACACTGAAACGTGCGCGACCACATGGCCTCGGACGCAAAGAGGCTCACCGGCGCCGTTGTGGCCGCCGTGACGAGGTCGCTGGAGGCGAAGAACGCTTCCCAGATCGCGAGCGCACGGTACGACAGCGACGTGGTCTTCATCGCTGCCGCCCGCGCGGCGAGAAAATCAAGCTGGACCTTCTGGAGCGCAATGCGGTATGGCTCCTTGCTGCCTGTGAGAGGCGACGCGGGGAGCGGGTACGCACTCAGCCACGCGTGCGTGAGCGGCGCTGCCGGCGACGAGGCGCCCGGCCGCGCAAACAGGTGCGCAAAGGTCCAGTGGACGATGAGAAGCACGCCAAAGAGGACGCAGCTCGAGACAAGCGCGTGCCACGAGAGGCTCCAGGACGAGAGGCTCGCGAGAAGCGTGGCGCCGACGGCGTACTGGAGGCCGACGCCCAGCGTCGCGCCGTACGAGGCTTCGAGCGCGCCGATCGGGTCGGTCATGGCGCGGAAGGCGAGCGGGTGCACACTTGA